GTATACGGTCCCAGCGACGAGCCGTGCTTCCCCGACAGTGTCTCCTGGATAAGCAGACTTGGACCTGGCACTGGAGGAGGAGGTGAGGTTTGAGAGCAGCCTGGAGAGAGCCCCTGCACCAGGACCGGCAGGTTTTTGATGCTGGAGAGCTCTGGGCATATGAATTGCAAGCTGCTGGCAGCCAGTGCCCAGAGACAGCAGGCCGCTTCGAGTGCAAAGTCCATCTTTAATCAAACAGGGCTCCTGGTGGGGCTGTTTGCAGAAATTGCGTGCAGGGAGGGGAAGATCATGCTGCTCCTCGCTCCTCCCGCAGCCGCAGCGGCCTGAAGCCCAGCGTGAGCAGAGAGTTAAGCAGTACTTGGGCATCCCCCCTGTTCTAAATCAAGCACAGATCCTTCCTTCGGAGAGAGGACAAGCGTTAAGTCTGACACCTCTCCAGATCTTAAACACCTCTCCCGGTGTGCAGCAGTTGGAAGCTTCATTTGCATTCGCTGTTTTTCTGTGTTCATGCGTTTAGCGGCTTTGGTGCCTCTTCTAGTAACAGCTCTGGTGCTGCCAGCCCCTTCCTGCAACTTCTTGGGTTTTAACTCCTCCCTTGCCCAGCTGCTGGGGGGTTTGTGTTTCATGTGTGTGGAAATAGACTGTAAAAAGGCTTCTGCCATCATAACAATAAATGCCTCTGTTTTTTCGGTTGATGATGGAATGAGATTTTAAATATTTTAAATCTGGCATTAAAACCCCTGAAAATAGAAGTTTTGGTTGTGTGGGATTGTTTCTGAAAGCCAGACAAATAATCCCGTTGGTCATTGCTGTCACTTTTCACGTAACTTCAAGAAAAAAAAAAACAACAACCAAACACAACCAAAAAAATCCCAAACAAACGCAAAGCTAATCTCTTGATGTACAGAAGGGATCTGAATTTGGAGAGGGGACTGATCGTTTCCAGAGGCACTGTAATCAGCCAGTGCAGTGATGTGCTCGGAGGTGTTGGCATGCCAAACCATCTGGATTAAAAAAAGCAGATAATATTGGGTAACTCTTCATGTTGTATATACATCTTGCTTTGAATCGTGTGGGGAGGGTGGGAGTTGTTCAGACATGCGGCGCAGCCGAGGGTGTTTAGTTGTGGCACTTCAGCCACTACTACTGGTCGCTGGCCAGATGGAAAGCTCTCTGTAGGAATGCCGCTTACCTAGTGATTGAAAGTAGTGTCTTGCAGGGTTTAGTAAATCCAGGTTACCGAGGACCATGATGTGGACTGCACACAGATCCTTATTTTTGCCCCATTGGATTTAGAAACAGATCATTTTAGAGTCATGTCGTGTGTAGTGGTTCTTTCTCCCACAGCAATTAATAACCTGATTGTCACTGTAAGTCAGTGTGTTGAGCACAGAGCAGAGATGAGCACACGTGGAGTGAATATCTTTGATTATTTGAACCAGATCACAACAGTAAATTAATTCCTTTGTATTGGAGTTTATCTCAGTTTTAACCGTGTAGCTCCTTCCTCCGGGATGAACTCTGAATGTGTTTCCAGCTGAGGAGCCACAGGTAACTAGGGAAAACCTTTCCTTAAGAAAAGTGAAACATGAGACAGGTGTGTATATATATATATATTCTAGCACAATAAATTAGTCCATATTTGTGATAAAGCCTTGAAATAATGTTTTTTATTACGTCTGTGCTTCTAGCCTTTTAACAGGCCATGACTGCTATGGAGAGGAGCATTGGCATCCTGACTTCTGCATAACTTTGATTTGGCAATAGTGACTCTTCTTAGAGGACTTTACAGAATTAATAGAAGCATCTAAAGCAGACAGTAGAGGGATGTTTAATTTCTTTTTTCAGTGAGGATGCAGGTATCCTGACTAAAGGCACGTTTCATCGGGTTGGCACAGCCATCCAGAAGACTCTTGTGAGTTCTGTGCATCTGCCTAGTAGGCTTTGTGGCTGAGCTGGACTCGGGCAAAACAAGTAGGGTGCTGCTGGTGGGGTACATGAACCTTAGCAGGCCAGGAAATGTGAAATAGGTGACTGAAAAAATATATTGGGGAGCAGTCAGTGAGGAGGAGAGTTAAAGGGGAATGTGCAATGTCACCCTCCTTTTCCTTGCAGTCTAGAGAGAAAGGTTTGCTTCTGAATTTGGTGGCTTCAGTAGGAAAAGAGGTGAGTTTCCAGCTGACAGAACCATTTTCATGTACTGCGACAAAACCTGAAGTTTATTAAATGGTACTTTTCTACAGTGTCTTCGGGTGTTGCTGATAAGATGTTCTGTGTTAGAAACCTGGGAGCACCACAATACTCCTTGACAAGCAAAGGATGAATGATTCACCCCCTCCAATTACTTGTTCAGAGCAGAATTTGACTTAAGCTGTGATAATATGTTGATCCATAAGGTGCCTTCATAGAAAGTAAACTTAAAACACATTAAAAAGTAATCAAAGCTTCATTAGGCAGTGCTGCTACTGCTGTTTGCCAGAAGCTGAGAAGATATAAATAAGGAAATGTTACTTGTCCTCATACTTGACTAATGGGTAAAGGAATTTGCTCTTGGCCACTGTTGGAGAAAAGTAGCTAAACAGCCATTTGATGCAATGCAGCAAGTCAGTTCTGGCCTATTTATGGCCTTTTAGTTTCTTTCTTATTAAAATTTGACTGTAATAGAGCTTTGGCAGAATCAACTGTATTGCACGTCTGACGCAAGACTAGCGACACTCAAAAATCCTGCTGCGACGTTAAACTCAAATCCTGCATACATTTAAATGAAAGAATTGATATCATTTGAGTCCACATATTTTTGACTGTTCATATCATGCAGCACTAACAAAGGTGAATTTACAGATTTGCTTCTGTCAACTGCTCATGGCATGATGCCTACAAAATGATTAAGGGGTCGCTTAATGTACTCCAGCCTTGAGTTCTGCTAGCAGATGTCGACTTTTGTAGACAAATAGCCTATATACCCCAAATCTCCATGTAGTGTAACTGTAAAAAGCCTTTGGGGCCTATTTCTGAGCAGTTGCTTTCCACAACCATTGCACTTGTGCTGCACACTGTTCGCAGCGCTGTACTTACACCTCTGCCTGAAGTGGTGGTGTTCAAGGTTAAAAGTTTTAGAACAGCGTAACAATATTATGCTTAGGTCAAGAAAGGTGTTCTTTGTCTATGTTAAAGCCAAAGGCATCCCTCGTCAGAAGAACAAGTGAATAGCCACCTTTGAGCAAGGGCATCCTGGAGCCATTAGAGCTTGCAGAGGGTACATTGCCAACTTGGCAAGGAAACTCAAGGTCTACGTATCCTTGGCTGAACTACCCTCATTCTAATACTAAAAATGTGGCCTACAGGTCAAGAAGACCCTTGCCCAGGTGAAGACCCTTCCCCTGAGCAGATGTAGTAGTAGAAGTATTGTGTCAGCAGTATTAATTGTAATGTAAATTACTAACCAGTCATTGTAGAGAGGATGGACTTGGAGAGTTACTAACTCTGCAAGTTTTGTGTATAAATACAGTGTGAAAAGTCCTGTTGGTGTGCTTGATTTGTGGGAAACCACTGAGCACCTAGGCTGGAGCAACCCTAAAATAACAAAGCAGTTCTGAGTGTGTGATCATTGACCTGTTGCGCATCAGGTGATGAATCTGCTTTTCGGACACCAGTGTGACACTGAGCACTCCCTTGGATCTCCCCTGGGTGGGAAGGAACGCTGTCCTGTCTGCATCCCATGGTGATGGAAACCAGGCATTAGTGGTATTTACACCATTACCTTTCCTAAGTGTGTATTATACTTCATGAGGCACAAAAGTCCTTGCCTTGAGCGTAGGCAGTGTGTCCTGTCCCACCTTTCAGGCTCATACACGTGTTGCATTTAAGATAATGAATTAATTTGGTAAGAGATGAATCCCCTTGTGTTCTAGGGGGTCCTCAGAGATTAGAGAGGCTGGGGGCAGCTGGACTTGGCTCTTAATAGTTACGCCATTTATTGCTGTGACTCTAGGCCTGACAGGAGATGCACAAACAGCCCGTAGGCTGTAGGTCTGGTTGCATTCAAGAGAAGCAGTCGGGGAAATGAATAGTATGATTGATTCTTATGCACCATCTACAGATTCTTTGAGGTTGTCTATGATAAATGCACAGACTGCAGGTTGGCTCTCTAGCACTACACACAGAAAACAATTGCAGTCACACACACTTAATTCCTGGGTAATCACTTGGCGTGTAGCCGAGGGCCCAAGTCTTACCAAAAAGTGTCCCTTCTTGGGGGGAGGAGTGTGAGGAGCACAAACCCGTTGATTTGTCTCTCCAATTTGGTGTCGGATTGTCATCCCTTCAAGTTAGATACAAACTCGGGGTAGTATTTATCTAAGGGTGTGTTTGTGTGAGTGGGTGGGACTGTGGTCAAGGTTGTTTCTTGAGTAGCAACACAGCACATTCCTTGGTGCAAGGTGTGTGCTGGTTTGGTGGGAAAAGGGGAAGAATGAGAGGTAAGTTCTGCAGAGTTCTGCGAAACAGTCCTTAAGAGACGAGGAAGAGCAGGAGATAAATCTGCATAGTTGTGTCAAATATTCCTTGAGAAAAGTGGAAGAACGGGACCGTCCGGCCTCCACCCCGCTTCGCATTCCTCCTCGGTGCCACGGCAACACAAATCACTGGCTCTCCATCCCGTCCTGTGTTTGTTCCGGGCACCGTGTGTTAAGGAAATGTGTGTTTTGCAGTTTTTTCGTTGTTTTGCTTTTCCCACACTTCCAACAACGCGTGCACCGTGTGTGTCCGCACGTCCGTAGCACAAAGGCAGCTGGTTCCTTGAACTTCAGGAGAGTCAGGCAGTTCGGGACCTGCTCTGCAGCCTGCCTTGCTGGGCTGCACCAACTGGAGGAGCCAGGCCTGTCTTACTGCCAAGGGGGCTAAACGCCAGCTCCCACTGCGGATTTTATTCTCTTTGCAGCCTGTGTCAAAGAGTAAATAAAAGCCACTGGAGTTGGGTCCATGAGGGCCTTGGGCTCCATCGAGAATCCTGATCCCCAGGACTTTAGTACATGGAGGTGACCATTAACTTTCATGTTTGGCTCTTCTGGTAGGAAACAACTTGTTGAATGCACTAGGATTTTTGGCTTGGGTTTTGTTGGTGTGGGATTTAACAAATTTTTAGGCCCTGGGTTATTGAATGAGTACAGTTACAATGGCATTATAATCCATAAGAGAAGCTTTTAGTTTTGTTCTCACGAGTCAGCTTTTCCATTTATGTAACTTTCTACTGTTTCTGGAGCAATTTGTGGTTTTGTTTTGGGAAGGACAGACTTTGTTCTAGCTGTTATCCCTGGCTTGTGCTGCAAATCTGGTCCGTGGTGTGGTACCTTATGCCTGGATGATGCCCCGCTGCAGGCAGACCATGTGCTTCCAGGCGTGATGCGACCTCCAGGTTACGTTGCAAAAACATTTCAGTAGCCTGGATTTTTCCCCAAACCTTGCTGTTGAGTGGTGGTCCTTTTACATCCTTTCACCCCAGGACTTTTTCCTGCTTTTAAACAGTTTCTTCCAGAGCCACACATGAAAAGCGGGAATCTGGTCGCTGCTCTCGCAGCAAGCTGGGGCTCATTCCCTCCTGCCCTGGGTCTCCGGCTGGCACGTGGGGCTAATGCAGCCCAGGGTCAGTGGGTGCCTGGTGGCGAGAACCATGTCCAAATAAACAACTTCTAAGCTGTTTGGGGCAAGCCACATCAAGAGAGAGCTGCTGTAGCAGCTATGCAGGATATGCCATGGGCTTTCCCAAAGGGCCCTGGAGGGAGAGAGTAAGTACATATGGAGCCCATCTGGACACTGCCTAGTTTCTGAGGAAAGAAAAAAAAAAAAAAAAAAAAAAAAAAAAAAGGCAGCACAAGTACAGAGTGAGCTTTTCCAGCCCCCTGTGTTTGATTTAGGTCGCATAAGTTCACGGTGGTTTTGCTATGTTTGTCCTCAATCTCATTCCTTACAGACCAGAAACCAAGCATTGGGAGCGAGAATGATGACATTGCTACGTGTAATGCTCGGCTTAAAATAGCCTGAACAAAGAAGTGGTTTGAGTTCTGTAATGATAATTGCCCAGACCTAAAAATAGGTCGATATTCTACCAGGCAGAGAGAAGCAAGAGTGAGACACGAATTGCTGGGAGAGACCTCAGAGGCAGCCTGCAAGGTTCTGATCAAGCAGGTCATTGCTGTAGGTGCCTACAAGTTTCCCCACCCTGTGACCACCATTTACAGTGGATGGTGGCCACCGGCACCACCAGAACTGGCACTTCTGAATTTTAAGCTAATGGGGGGGGGGGG